CCCCGCCCCGACTCGCACCGCTCAGGGAAAAATAGCCGCGGCGCAGCGGTAATTGTCGGTAGAGACAAATTGTGGAGCCGTGCGCTTTTGTTTGCTTGTTGTGACAGCAGCCCCATTAAGACGAGTTCTTCCTCATAAGTGTCCCCTTCCGCGGCGCTCACAAATCTCTCGGACTTCCTGGCCGCCCTCCCCACACCGCGCACGCCGGCCCGGCTCCCCCCTGCGGCAAAGAAGGGAGCGGTATGGACGACATTGTCGAGAGTCTGTCGATGAGTCGTTGAGCTGGCCCTCCGGCGGCGGCAGCCTCGGCAAGGCCGGCGGCGGGAAGGTGCGTGGCTCAGCCGAGGGCGCATCAGCAGCAGCCCCCAGGGAGGAGGAAAAGCGGGAGGGGCGCCCGGGACAGGCGGCGGTTTCGTGTTAACATGTGTTGAAGCTCATTAAGCCCCCTTTCGGGGGGAGCTTCAACGTCGTGCGGAGTCGGCCCCGCCCCACCCCGCCCCCCGGGTCAGCGGGTCGGTGGCTCCGCTTCGCTCGCTGACTTATGGCCCGCCAGCTGTAGTGGGCCCGCTAAAGGGGGGGGGGAGGAGAGTTGATAGCGCCCTTGGGAGGAGCACCTTGCGACTCGCCTCGCGGCACTGGGCCTTCAGTCGCGGTTCTCTAAGCGGGGCAGCACTGCTCTGACAGCACCCTTCAGAGAGGAGCATCATGGCAGCGGGTTGTTCAGTTATGGTGGTCAGCACAGGACTCTTCTCTCTGCTGCTTTTGCAATGCTCTCCTCGACTCGCCCCCTCCTCGTCGTCCTCCGAGACGCAGCAGCGGGCCGCGCGTAAAGCTCAGGACAACATCGGGACCGCCGTTTCGACAGAGCTGCGAGGAGCTGCGCGGAGCGGCCGGTGGAGGGCGCGCGTAAGTCACCTGTCCTGTTACGAGACGCTCGTGACCCGTTGCGGCACGGCGGCCCAAACGCGCCCCGCCCCGCCGCACCTTCCCTTTCCGTGGTCTTGTGTCCCACACTCGGAGCCGGCGGCCGCGCCACACCACGCCACGCCCCGCCGTTGGGCTTGCTTTGAGCGACGCTTCGCGCGGCGGCTCCGCGCGGCGCAAACTTGCCTCGCTGCTGTTGAGATGTAATTGCAACAATAAATCTCCGGTTGAGCAAAGCAGGGGCAGCGGGCCGGGCTCGGCGGGCTCCGGGGTAAGGG